TTGTTAAGTACAATAATAATATGTTGATACCAAATTCATTAAAATATGCAAAATACCACATGTCGCTTTAACTCTGTTGTTACAGTTACTATTTTGTTTTAATTAACTGCATTTACCAGTTGATTTAACCTGAGCTTTATTAAATTAAAAACCACCTACAATTAACTGTAACGCACCAATTATTTAATAATAAAAATGTAAAGACACAATGTTATGCAGATAACAACAATAGGCTGGCAGGAAAAGGCCTCAATGTAAAAACAACAACAACAACACATATGTTTGAATTCTTATTTGTTATAGAAATAATATACACATTCCGATATAAAGTATTTTCAACATGTCGGCGTAGGTGTTCATTGCAAAATATTTGCCAGCAACGATGACATAAAAACTACATCAATACAAAGAACTAGATTTCGATCAACACCATCTCTCATTTGAATAAAATTCTACATTTTTGTTGGAAAACAAAACAAGGCAAAAAATATCCAGAATGTGTCAACAAAATACAACAAAAGTAACAATAAAATATTGAATATTTAATAGATGGGGGTATGTGTGTGTGTGTTTGAATGTGATACTGTATAATAGTAAATGGATTTTACATGCTTTTTATTGCGTATAACCCGTATAGCATATATAAAACAAATAAGCAGTGAGAATTGTGTAGAATTTTATATTAATACATTTAAGGGAACCCCCCCCCCCCCATTCTCAATTTTAATTTTTCAAGATTTTCAATGGGCTGGTAAATCAATACCAATGCTTGTTAAGGTTTGTAACTTTGCACATATATATTTGAAGATTTAAAAGAGAAGAAAAATAATTTACAAAAAAATTTTGTTGTTGTTTTGTTGTTGTTTTTTGTAATTAAAGAAAAGTCCTTATTTTCGATGGCGGGCATGATAACTCCTCACTGGAACATCGGAATCCGAAAATTCCAACGGTGTTAGAAAGAGTACATGTCTGGCTCTCGTATGAACTAGGATTATTGACTTCGATCTAAAATTAACAAAATGGCGGACCTTTGAAATAATATTTTTGGAAAATCGTCGATTTTTTACCAAAAACCAAGTTAAAAAATAAGGAAGATCTTCATCGATTGGCTTTATCCTAGTTCATACGATAGCTACACACTCACAGAGAAACGTGTAAAAATTTGAAGTCGATTGGATTATTAGTTTTTGAGTTATCGTGCCCGCCATTCCCAAAAAAATGTTTAGAGAAAAACGCGTTTAAAGTTTGAGAAGCCCTTCAGCCGTCACTTGATGCTGACACAATAAATCGGCTATATCTTCAAGAGTTCTTGAGATTTTCACATGAAATTTTGTAGAGACATTCTTTAATCAGTGTAGATTCGAATTATATCAACAAAAATTTTGACCCCGGGAATGGGGGGGGGGGTCCCCTTAAATAAGCAAATATATGTAATGGTTCCGAACAAATATGTAACATTTTATATCAACAAATATTATATCAGTTGTAGATTGAAAACAAAAAATATTAAAAAATCTCAGGCCAATAGGTGTGGGAGTTCCTAAAAATTTCTTTAAATATGCAATGTTTTAAAAATTTGTTTTAAAAATATGTTTTAAAAACATTCATACTTAAACATGTGATGTTCCTTAAATATATTATTGAAAAATTCCATCGTACATACTGTTTTAAAATATTCTTTAAACAATTGAAATATTCTTTAAACAATCTACGGCTATAACTTTGAATACCTTTCCTTAGTAGGACCTTATAAGTATTCTTTAAAAATTCTCAGAAGGTCCTTGAAAAATATAATTTACTTAAAAAAGTATATACGATTTTTGCTTAGAAACCTATCCAATCCTTTATCTTTGATTGTCCTACAAATATTCCTCAAGAAATTATAGCTTGGATGGACCTTGAAAATTGTTGTAACACAACGTACTGAAGTACGTTGTGTTACAACATTTTTATGCTGTGCGGTTGCACCTTAACAGTTGTGAACGGTACTCAAGATTGTGAACAGCAATTAAATATACACGAATGAAAAAACTGCTCACTTCAAAGAGAAAATTTCCAGTCAACCAATTGACGTGGAAAAAGCAGTTGAAAAGAAACTGTTAAATATTTAAAGGTTTCGTATCCACAAGTCTGCCACAACTACAGCTTTTACTTGAAGAGCAGGCAATTTAAATTTACTTTTGCTCAGCATTTTGTTAAAATTTAATACAGGAATTCGTAGTGGAATTATAGTTGAAATAAAAAAATAATAACAAATTGTTTGGTACCCCTATTCTATGAAAAACTATGGCAAACCTGTTTTAGAAAATACCATTCGATTATTACTTAGTAGGCGAAGGTGGCGTATACGTGTTCTATGTAATAATTTGCAATTATATGCTCACGATGCAAGATATAGATTATAATTTTTTACTAATCCGAGTCAGTCTAGAATGCAAATATACCCAGAACAACATGCATCTCAGTTCCAAAGTGCACTTTTTTATTAAAAAAAATTTTAATAAACTTTTGTATATTCCCCGCCCATTTTGTCAAGAGTAATTGCATCTATAATTATACCCTACACAACTATGTTGTCAGGGTATTATAGCTTTGTGCAGTCCAAAAGTTTGCAACGCCGCGAAATATTGGTCCTAGACCCACTTTTAAGTATACCGATCGTCATATCTCGACTAGCTGAGTCGATCTAGACATGTGTGTCCGTCCGTCTGTCTGTCCATTGTAGGATGGGTTCTGGCCAATGAAGACCCCTATTGTTTTTGGGAAAGATCGGTTAATATTTAGGGGATGGAATGGACCAAATACTAAATTTTTGTCGGTTTTTCTGGTCGCTCCAGAGGCCGCAATAATGACCCAAACATCATGAAATTTTGCATGGAGAAGGGGATCGGACCAAAGAATAAGCATGCCTGTTTTGATAAAGATTAGCGGGTCAAATGGACCCTGACTTTTGTGTGAAAAATCTGGAGTATTTTGTCAAACGTCTGATATCAAATAGTAGTAGAATATACCCCAGAACCAATAAGTGCTATTCAGCGTAATGTGTGAACGACAGAAGCCAATGGTCAATGATTTTATTGGGTCTTTTCAATGCGGCTACATGCCTGCTAGATCCTGGAAAAGACTCACGAAAAACCCATCGACCCATTCCACCTATTCGTCGAATACAAAGCGGCATTCGACAGCCCTATACGCTCAGAGGTGTTTAGAGCAAAAACTCGACAAAATGCATCTTGAAAAAATAGTTTATGAACAAATATCCAGGGGGTCTCAGGTATAACAGAGGCATGTTAAGAATAAAAACGCTAATACGCGAAATTGTGTGTATAAAATGTAAATAAAATCAGAGATCCGCACATAAAATATATATTTTTATTTTATAAGCTTGCTATATAGCGATTAAAACGTTTAATATTGTTCGATCTGTTGTTATGATATCGTAACAACAGAGGAAAAGCCATCTATTGGAAATTGTTGACATATCGATTGTCCTATCTTTATACTTTTATGTCTTTGTTCAAAGGTATGTCTGCGTTCGGCATTCCTGCAAAATTAATATGGATATACAAAATTACTTTAACTGGTATATGCTCAGAAGTTATAGTCGGTGCCCTTTGATATCGAACGAGAATTTAGAAAAGGTGACAGTTTGTCGTGTGATCTTTTTAATATCCTGCTGGAAAAGGTCCACAATTTAAGTATTTCTATAGACATAAGATAATTTTAGAACCATATTGGCTATAACATGGCATTGCGGGTAGGCAAAATACTTATTTACAAGTATGTATGAACTTCATAGCTGTTAATATATATAAACTCGTGATGTTTATAAATTAGCGTTTAATCCTGAAAAGAGAAATTTATGTTTTATTCTCCCTGTCTCTGTTGTTTTCTTCTTCTAAAACGCTATAAAGTGAACGTTTATTCTTCATTACACTACATGGCTTAATCGTGTTACACTGTTCATTAAAAAATTCATTCATAAATACCTAGCTAAGCCCGCACATTTCTATGTATACAAAACAAAAAATATTTCACTCTCACATTTGTTCCTATTCTCACATAAGAGAACAATTTCTCTATTGCTCATTTGAAACAGAAACTACTCAAGGATATTTAAAACCAAATGTGGCAACACTAATATCCCAGTGGGAAAATGGAAGGTATGGTAAACGAAGAGGTAATGCATAAACACTATGATTTATACATTCCAGAATTCATTATTGTTAACACGGTCCATGTCCTAGGAAAATAATGCATTCCTTTTGTTTGCCTAAGCGATTCGTAATATAATGCAATCTATATAATGCATTTTGGACAATCTTTTAAGTATACATTATATAATTGATGTATCCCAATGCATTAAATAATTAATACTTTATCATTTGTTTTATAATTCATTCCCCCAGAATACATTAAAATTATGTTCTTTTAATTTGAAATATAATAAAATAATTTATTAATAATAAACATAGTTTATATGTATTTCATAAATATATGTACGTATTCTTAGAATACAAAAACATAAACAAACAAACTCATTGTGAATACATACAAAAACATAAAATGTAATTTATTTTTGGATTATGTTTAAATAAATTCTTATTTCTCGCTACGTTTTTTAGCGAGATGTGTTTTCTTAAACTGCCTTAATTTTATCAAATGGAATGCCTTTTTAACATCCTTCTTATATTCCTTCTCGTCGTATCCTTCCCTCTTTGACACCTCTGCAAAAAATAATATATGTATTAATATGTATATTCTAAAAGTATTTAATGTAGAAAATTTGAACAATTTTACTTACCATACATTAACTTATTTATATTTTCAAAGGACTTAAAAGCCATTTTTCCTTTTATTCCTTCAAAGTTATAGTTCATAATCAATTCTTCGGAAAGTACTCTACATAAGTTTTTTACAACTCCAGAAGGAAACAATATCCTTTCCATGATGGGTATCTGGAAAAAAAGAATTTGTCGTTAATAATCATATTAGCATTTTTTAATATTATTCAATACTTACAAACGAAGCGAAGTCTTCCCCAATTTTTTTCTCAACTTTGTGGAGATCTGCCTCATTTTGTATGGGAAAGTATATTTTTTTCGCATCCTGTGTCAATAGAGTATCTAGTTTTATTTCAATTTTGGTCAGTACATTTATACATGTATCAAATTTATCTGCAAAAGTATGAAATTAAAGTGTTGATTTAAATATATATAAAATTATTTATGATGTAATGTTTATGAAGTAAAATACTTACCATTTAGTATTTTAATGTTTTTCTCAATATCTTCTATTCGGGCCAATTCTATAATATAAGAAATATGTTATTTATTTATTAATGTATATATATTTAAAGTATTTTACCTGATTTTTTATTTTCGTCAGTTTGAAGTATTGCGTTCTGGGGTGCAAGAGGTGACACAAATTGTTTTTTTATTATAGACATTTTAAAAGTTTTGGTTTGGTATCAATCTTGAGAATTTAATTCTGTTTATGGAGAATTGGGAGGAATACAAATTTATTTTGGTATGGCAATCGAATTAATTTATATAATATATCATCACAGTTAAACTGTTCAGCAGTTGTGCAAGTGCATCCTTCGCAATGTTTTATTATACTTTCGAGTTTTAACAGTTGATTTTTTAGTCCAATGTGCAGATATGAACCAGGTGTCACTGTCCTAAGGGTACATGTTTGGTTTCTAATTAAGGATTTGGATGACACTGGCATATTAACTGACAGACTTTCGGAAGATAAAACTTTTAATAAGTCATCAAAACACTCTCTAGATATATTATGTTTCACTGCCCAATTTGTTAATCTGCGGTCAAAACTTTCTTCTGCTTCTTCTTCTTCGTTTTCTATATTCAAAGTAGGAATTTCTTCTACACAAATATTTTGTTCACTTGCACAAATTAAATTATTTTCATTTGATGCACTTGCACAACGTTTATTTTTATGTGATATTAAACGCCTCCAATGTCGCTTTGAATACATTTTATAAACTTACGTCTTCACTGTCACACAAATGAAACAAAACTAAACAAATTTACAAATTTCAACAATAACGCGACATGAAGTCGCCCGAAAATAACGGGACACAAAAAAAAAAAACAAGAAAAAAACTATGAAACTACACATTCCATTATGTATAGATTCTGGAATATAGACGGTAATCAATTTGCAGATTTCGTCAAATGAAATTACCATTTCGCTTCTATTGGGATGAATAATATAATGCATTCCATAACAATAATGTTATAATCATTTTTTTCTCAAATTGCATTCTTTTCTCGAATATTTTAGACAAATTCTGTAATGTAAATCATATAATGCAAGAAATTATTCATTATCAATGTAATGCATTCTCCATTTTCCCACTGGGTATTTGAATGAAGAGAACACGTCAATACAACATAAAAAATGCCGTGTTGGGGAAATAACACAGCAGCCGAAACGCTCTCTTAGCGGATAACAACAAATGCTTTTGTCAAATGTAATCAGTTATCTGACGAATGTCTATTCGAGCGGTACTCTCAGCTGTTGATGGTGGGCGTTAAACAAAAAAATATATTGAAATCAAAGGAATTATTTTATCGGCTAACTTGAAATGAAATATTAATAAATTTTAATTAATGAAAATGCTACAAAAAAGTACTTGTATTTGTATTCAAAAAGATACAAATTGCCAAGAGAAAACGAGAAAAGTGCTGTGAAAAAAAAAACAAAATATGAAATTCACTTTGATGTTTAGACTTCCAGTTATATCAAGTGCAAATTTTAAGAGGATATACATTTTCCATTATATTTTAAGGTAAGCGCCAGAACGCACACCCACACAAATTGACAATATAAATAATGTGGTTTATATCCTAATAAGAATACGTTTTTTATTCATCCATCAGTTAGTACCTATATTCCATCAAAAATGTCCTTCAGTTTGTTCGCAGTCAAGAACGTGCTTAAAATTCGAACAAAATCTTTCAGTTATCGAAGATTTAAAAACGAACAGGACCGACTATATCAGTATATGAAAAAAGGGCTCTAACCTAATAATAACAAGGCAAAAGTTTTTAACATCCTAATATTCTACAAAAATGTGGCTCATATTTTTAAAATGTCTTCACAGACAAAAAATTCATATTCGTTTTCATTTGCCTTTTTCCTCTTTTACCCAATCCTTATCTGCTTACACTAATAATGAATGAAATGAATAAATGTTGATATGTTTCTTAACTAGCTATTTTATTTGCTGCCAGATTTAGATATAGCTCCCATATATAGATTGGTCCGATTTCATGTAAATTGTGCACCAAAGTCCCTACATATCTTTCGATTTGCACCAAATTTGGCATAACGTACTGAATTGAGCCTAGAGTGATGTCTGTCATGTTTAGAGAAAATCGGTCCAGATTTAGATATAGCTCCCATATATATTTTTGTCCGATTTAATATAAATGGTGCACCAAAGTCCCTTGTATTTTTCGATTTGCACGAAATTTGGCATAACGTACTAAATTGAGCCTAGAGGGATGTCTGCCAAGTTCCGAGAAAATCGGTCCAGATTTAGGTATAGCTCCCTTATATTATAGATTTATTTTAAGTAATTTACGCACCAAGGATCCAATATATGGCTGATAGGAACAAAACGTACTGAAATTAGTATAACCTAACTTGTGACAAGTTTCGTTGAAATCGGTTCATATTTGGATATAACTTATATATATATATATATATAAATTTGCCCGATTTTAAGTAAATTGGACATCCAACTCTTAATGTTAGTCATATTGACATCAAATGTTGCACAAGGTACAAAATTGAGCATAGAACTACGTAGTTGCGTTTTCTAGAAGTACAGCCCAACGGATGAACTATTGATATTTGTTCAAAGTTTATTGATCTAAGTCGATTCACATTTATATATATATATATATTTCATCCAATTTCATGTTAATAGTCTTGTTTAATATACCCCTAGTGGTGAAGGGTATCATATAGTCGGCCCCGTCCGACTTTACTACTTTCCTTACTGGTTTTTTATATATTGTCCTTTCCTTATAATTTTCAGTTTCCTATTTTTTTCTCTCGGACCTGTCATTTTCTGGTTTTGTTTTCCGAATTGATTTGCATAAAACGGTAGATAAACTGAAAACACTGTGATTTTTCGTTAAAATTGTTGTTGATATTTTTTACTGTTGTTGCTGTTTTTCTTTTTTATTGTGTTCTCGTTTGTAGTTGTCATATTGAAATTTAAGAGACAGAATTAAAATGAAATGTATTTGTGTGGGATGCTTCTGTCATGTTGTGTGTTTGTTTGATTGGTTTTTTGCTTGATTTTGTAACGGTGATCATATGAAAAGGAATTGAATTATATATGTTTGTACCGATAACGAAATGTATGATGTAATGAAGGATATGAAAATTATATTCATGGAAACGTGTGATATAACAGAATATAAGTTTACATACGGGCGCAGCTGGCAAATTTGAACATACATTTGAAATTTAAAAAATCTGAACAATTTTTAAGCCCATAAAATCGGTTATACATGATGAGTAAGTATCAGAAGGAGTGGATCGATTGATCTCATTTTCAGTTATAAATTTAATGTTCAGCTAAACTTTAACTATTTTGTGCCGGAGGTACCAGCAGTGGTTTGATTTTGAGCTCAAACAAAGCTTGGTCTGGACGTATTTAACATACATACACTTGAGTTAGGCTATGACTGCTAAAAATCGAAAATGAAAAAGGGTGATTCCCCGAAATTTTTGTTGGACTTTTGTGATACATTTAAAACGAGAAATTCAAAATTTCAGCAAATTATGTTAGGAAACATACCTAATATCCCCAAATAGAGAATATTTGGGGTACTGATATAAGGGAGCTATCGGATTTGAAAACAAACTCCGAACTTGGTTTTATCATTAAAAAGTACCGGAATGGAACTTTTATTGTCATTTTTATAAATCGAATGTTTTGTACGATTTCCCCACCATATTTACGCACCACAAAGTGACAACTCATACCGGATCATGTCAAACAACAAAAATTCATTTGCACAGGATAATAGATGACAAATATATTATGTTTTGTAACATGATATCACCACACCTGACAGCATGTCACACATATACAGCCGCAGACACACCAAATGATAATCTGATTCTGTATTTAATTTTATTCAGGCCATTTAAAATAAAATCTTTATTGGGTTGACAGAAAAAGATTTGTTCGATGTTATTTGTCTGTTTTTTGTGTGTGATGTGTTTGACGACACCTTATGATTTTCAACATGATATGATGTTGGAATGTGGACACGTGTTTTCATATCATTTTTGGCAGTCCTTTATTTCTACGCCCATTGGGGTGGCAAAACAGATTTTCAAGAATCCACTTCATTTTATGGGTTATGAAAAGCGAAAAAAGGTTGCTTAATGGAGATTTTCTTATGGCAATTTTCCAGTACAAGAGAAACAAAATATGCAGAATATGGTAATCCTTTCAAATAATAATTCTCAATAGAAATTTCAAAAAGGATATTTGTTACTCACAATAAGGGGAGGGAAAAATTGAAGAAATTAAAAGTGACCAAAGAAATTACAGTCAATGAATGTAACATGGACAGTGTATTAATAGATTTTCCCAAAGTCAATGAACGACGAAAACCATCTACCCCAAGGCCACAGGCAGGCATGTATATAACATAGCGAAGGAATACTACAGCTTGGCATTAAATTTTTCTCCCTAAAGTTTTTTGTAGATGATTGTAGATTCAGTGTATTGACGTTGAGCTTTGCTCTCCGAAAAAACAACTTTAATAGCTGGCAAGGGTAAACCAAAATATTGCCTGCCAACATTATTTTGTCGCAAGGCATCTCGTGATGTTTAACAATGATGATGATGATGGAGATCATCATCGTCATCACCCACACCACATCTAGTTGATGTTTTTCTATTTTCATCATGATAAAATTTTGTTGCTATTGTATTTTTTTATCCTGTGGGTAAAAGTGATGTATTATATAGCATTGTTTTTGTCGTGTACACACACACGTGTGTGTGTCGTGTACACACACACACGGATATAACCCATTTTAAATGTATGTTATTAGAGAATACAGAACCATGTGTGAAAAAATCACATTTTCAGTATATAATAAATGCCTATCTACTGGGACCTCTCTCCTTTCATTTTATAGTGAGCCACACAAAATTTAATGTTGCATGGTAAAAGTTCTGCCTTAGGATATAGGATTTTCACAACTCATAGTTATGACTTGTCTGGGTTTGGGTATAAACACATATTTTTCAATTTAAACATTAAACTTTTTTATACCCAAATACGAATCATCATAATTGATAGATAGACAATTTCAACAAAGCAGAGTCAACACATAAGTTCAGGAAAAAATGTGTACCATAAAAAATCTTACTAATAAATACACGCATGCACCATTACATGATTTCCATTAAACGGAAGTTATGCTGCGCTATGATAAAATAAATCGTATGTCACAATAAATTGTTGGTAACACATTTATTGCCTAATCGTCTTTCTGAGAGAATATTGACCAATAATTTCTGTGTTAGATGAAGAAATTCTCGTCGTTTGCCCCAAAGGGTACGAAGGAAATACCTAGACCAGATATTTCAGAGAGTCTATCAAGAAATCGGACATAAAACCGAACTGAATTTTGCTATGTGTGTAATGTTTCGCGTTGAACGAACAGAGTAGTGTATTTGAATGAAGCCATGCGTCCTTGCTCCGTCGCTGTACAAAAATATATTGCGATAAACCGTATGGATCCAGTAATATTGGAAGACAATGCACTTTGGAAAGACGCGGACACAGCTCATAATTGCTAGTTGGACCACAATTCTAAAATTGGGGGTGTACAATGCATAATCTGGCGAATACATGCATGTGAGGCAAAACGATGTTAGTCCACGTTTTGGAATTGGAATAAAGGATTAACTACACTGTGGTACAGGGTATTATGTCTTTGTGCATATGTTTGTAACATGCAACAATAATCGAGATAGACCCATGGTTCCTTTTTAGAATATGTATTGAATCACTTTCTGAGTCGATTTATGCATGTCCTTCCGTCTGTCTGTTGGTGTTAAATTGTAAACAAAGTACAGGTCGCATTTATGATCCGAATTGGATGAAATTTGGCACAGCTCACTTGTTTGTCCCAAGAACGAACCCTATTGAAATTGGGAAAAATCGGTTCAGATTTTGATTTAGCTCCCATATATATTTTCGTCCGATTTAAGGTAAATGGTGCACCAAAGTCCCTATATATCTTTCGATTTGCACGAAATTTGGCACAGCGTAATGAATAAGGTCTAGAATGATGCCTGCCAAGTTTCGTAAAAAT